ATATCAAAAAGGGAATTTATGTGCTCAATCTACATTCCTAGAAGTGGTTAGGTAAGAAGTTAGTAAATACACTGTTAGGAGTTCTTGGAAGCACACAAGAAAATCCTTGTAGGAACCAGCTATATATATACAAAAGCTAAAATATCACCAAGACTTCTTAAGTCATGACTTGACCTTTGGAAAAGTCCTTGACTTTTCCGAGTAGCTTTTGTGATAGTAGCTGGGTTCCATTACATTTTCCTGCAGCCTGCAGCAATATAGTAATAATTAAATGGTGTATCCTTGGTGTCAGAGTAGATACAAAGAACAATAAAACAGGACAGAAATGGGCAGAAGAGAGCTCAAAGAAAACAGACCAGAATATAAAGTCACAACAGAATAAAGACAATGATGAAGCACTAAAAGTAAATATTAGAACATAACAATTGGCAGTGGATTTCTATAATTTGAGAAGGGTCAAAGAAAAAAGACAGGGCAAGATACTCAACTTAAAACTGTTAAAATTTAGCCAATAGGAGATAGTCAGTAATTTAAAAAAAAATTACGAAAACCTCAATGTGTCAAAAGGAAAACAAATACAACAAGCAAATGATAAGCAGAGTAAAAAACTTGTACCAAAAGATTAAGAAAAATAAATTAGTATTTAGCAAACACTAATAGTAGGACACTAAAATCTAATAAATGTGCAAATTTTAAGACAAATAAATTATTCCTTTGGGCTAGAGAGATGGCTCAGCAGTTAAGAGCACTGGCTCTTAATTGAACCCAGGTTCAATTCCCGGCACTCACATAGCAGCTCACAACTGCCTATAACTCCAGTTTCAGGGGATCTGACACCTTCACAGAGACATACATACAGGCAAAACATAAATGCACATGAAATAAAAATAAGTAAATTATTTTTTAAAATTATTCCTTAAGTTCATATTTAGTTTATAAATTATTTATTCTACAAATAAACAAAAATGGCATGTTTCTTATTAATTCTTTGACTTTTTTCTGGGTATCTATATATTCTAAGCTTTGTTAAAGGATAACCTCATAAACTCATCAAAATAGCATTATGGAGCCAGGCTTGGTGGTGCATGACTCCAATCCCAGCATTCAGGGGACAGAATCAGGATGATCAAGAATTCAAGCTATTTAGCCAGTTTAAGGCCAGTCCAGGCTAACGTGAGACTCCATCTCCAAAAACAACAATGCCACTGATACCTACCAAGCAAGTAACCAAGAAAAGTAAGTAACCAAGAAGAAAAAAAAATTTATATATATATATGTGTGTGTGTGTAAAATATATATATATGAAGCTTAATATATGTCAGGTACCTTATTTGTGCCTTATATGGTCCTAATAGCTCATGTCTTGAGAGCTTTGGGAAGTGGTGAAACCTTTAGAAGACTGAATAAGTTAGTTTACTGGGGTGTATGTCCTTTAGGAGAATTCTGGATTCAAGCCCCACTTCCTCTGTTGTCTTTGCCTCCCAGCTATCATGTATTGAACGTTTTGCTCTGCCATAGATCCCTATATTGGGCCACCTTGCCACAGGCCCAGAAGCAATAGAAACAGTTGACCATGAGCAGAAATCTTTAAAATCATGCACCAAAATGCACGTTTCTTCCTTATAAGTATTTGTGGCAGGTATTTTCTCAATGACAGAAAGCTGATTAACACACAGGGCTTGCTGAAGTGGTAGTTTTTAAAATGACAGTCTCGTGTACTCAGAATAGCCTCAAACTCAGTATGTAGTGAAGATGACTTCCAGTGTCTTATCACCTGCTTCTACTTCCCAAATGGTAGGATCACTATGGCTGGCTTTCTTTTTATAGATTTTTTTCTTTTCTTTTTTAAAAATAGGCACTCACTACGTAACCCAGGCTGGCTTCAAACTTGTCATTCTGCTTCAGTATCCCAAGTGCTAGGATTATAATCATGAACCATAGGCTGGCTAAAATGGAAAACTTTTTTATCTTACTAATAGGAACATAAATTGGTTTGATTATTTATAAAAGCAATATAGCTTTCTATAGATCTTCTAAAAGTCTGTTCTGATATAGCGACACTACTTCTAGAGTGATCTCTTGAATAAAATCTTAAATATATCTAATAAATGTAGGTGGAAATTTCTGTTCTGCCAACAACTCCCAAATACCCAGCAGTCACTTCCCAAATTGCCACACAGAAGCTTATATTAATTGTAACTGCTCAGCTATTAGCTCAGGTTTATTACTGACTAGCTCTTACACTTAAATTAACCCATAAGTCTTATCTATGTTTAGCCACATAGCTTGGTACCTTTTCTCAGTTCGGCATTCTCTTCTTGCTTCCTCTGCATCTGGCTGGCGTCCTCTTCCCAGAATTCCTTTTGTCTGTTTATCCTGCCTATATTTTCTGCCTGGCTACTGGACAATCAGTGTTTTATTAAACCAATTCTAGTGACAAATCTTTACAGTGTACAAGAACATTATCCCACAACAAATAAATGTGCACAAAAGTCATTGAAATAATAACATAATAATTAATGTTACCTCTGTAATTGTAACTGTTCCAAGTGCTTCACATTGAGCATTTACTCAATACTTGTAACAGTCCTGTAAAGCAGGTGCTGCCATTAGTCCCATATGCCAGATAACAATACTGAGGTTCAAGAGGATAAATCATCTGCCTGAGGTTATTCAGTTAATATGTGATGATTAATGTTAATATGGAGGTGAACATACTTATAAAATTTGCACTAAGCTTCTCATTTCAATTATCTGTAAAGTTTTAAGTAAGAAATTTATAAACAAGTTTTACTTAATACATTATTCTTAGTTAGTATGAAATGGTATGTTTCTAGCTTCAATGAAATTTCCTGATAATACAATTTAAGATAAATTATGGCACCGTAGGCCAAGAATAGAGCAAATAAGATTGGTTTTAGTTTGCAACTTGGTAGAATGTATTCAAGAAAATTCAAGTCTAATAGTAATTAAAGCAGGACATCAACACTCTTTTATTGCAAAGACTCCTAGTTGAATTCAGCTTCTATAAAGATTGTGGTCCCTTTTTTATACTATAACAGGATGCCTGGGACTAGGTACTTTATAAAGAAAAGGAATTTACTCCTTACAGTTCCAACATCTGAACCTTAGGAGAACCCATTCAAACCACAGTAATAACCCTGAACTCTACTCAGTTCAGACTGGAGTACAATAAAGAATTGATCAATTGGTTGTTAATAGAGAATTGATCAACTTCAAGGCCATCAACTTCTAAGATGTGTGTTAGCATAAAAAATGATCTAAAGCCAGGCCTAGTGATATATACCTATAATTAACAGCAATTAAAAGGCCAAAACATGAATATTCTAAGTTCCAGGACAACCTGACCTATGTAGTAAGTTCAAAGTCTGCTTAGGTTGAATACTGAGGCCCTGTCTCCAAATAACTTATCTTTAGCTGGGGAAATAAATGGGTATATAGCTGGTATTTCATACAGAGACCCATTATGTTATAACCTTAAAGGACACAAGCCATGTGTGTTTTGCTCTGAATCAGACACTTACCCTGGAGAAAGCAGCTCATGGCAAGAGAAGTGCCTTCTAGTGTTAAAATTAATTATAGATGCAATTATGCTCTTCCCACAAACCATATTGCAGTGTTTACTTTTGTGACAACTAGGAAAGCTTAGGTGGAAATATCCAAAAGGATGCTTACAGAGATAGGTTTCAAAATGTCTCATTGCCAAGTACTGCCAGTGAAAGACTGATTCAAACATGATGCAACTGTACTTTATCCCATGAGCAGTGTAATAAAGAAAGACATTGCCTTACAAATGATGTCTCTAGTACTATCTGGCACATTTGCACAGAGTAGAAAGATCATTCTTGAAGGAGACTTTGCAGTAAATTAAAATACAGCAGTGTTCTATTTCTCTTTGCCACAGACAGACTGGAAAGTTGTGATTACATATGACTCTTTGCACGTACACATCATAAGCATTTGCCAACTCAATAGTATTTCTCTCAATCTGAAGCTTAATAGTGGATTTGCCCATCACAATAAGAGAGTAGTAACTCTGTCTGACCTTGGAGTGACTCATTGCCCTTCTATGCTGACTGGTGCAGGCAGAAAAGAGTAATGCAAACTGAATTGGGTAAATGACAATGAGATGGATATCACCAGCTCTACTACTTTCATTCTGTCAACTTTAAGCATATCTTTGCTGTTTGTCTAATAGACATTATAGACTGAGATATGAAAAATAACTGGTTGGTAACCAAAGTTATATATTTACCATCTTTTATTCTTCCTATTTCACTTTCTTATTGGTATAGAACATGCAGTTATAAAGGAAGAGATGGTAGTGACATAACCCTGTAGTAGGCTAAGTAACAGTCCCAAGTGTACATATCTCAATCCCTATAACCTGTGACTGCTGCCTTATATGGTGAGACAAACTCTGCCAATGTGATTAAGTTCAGAAATTAAGATGGAATGTAATTCTGGGTAAGCTGGATAAACCCTAAGTGCAATCAGATTGCCACATTAAAAAGAAGGCAGACACAAAGAGGAGAGGAAGTGAGACACTGAAACCAGATGCCATGCTACTGGCTCAGAAAGATGTAAGGAGGGCCATGTGCCAATGAGTGCAAAGAAGCCTGCTCTGGGATCTGGAAAAGAACATATGCATGTTCCTGTCACCTCCAGAGGGGGTTTGTCTGTGACACCTTGACTTTAACCCAGTAACTCATAGACTTCTGTACTCCACAACTATAAGGAAATCAGTTTTCATTGTTTTAAACCACAACATATTGTAGTTTCTCACTAATGCAGCCATATAAAATTAATACATCTTCCAAGGATGAGGGTATAAAAATTGATCCTTGGAGAAGAGAAAGAATCTTACAAACTGGGCTGTAGTAGCTTTAATCCCAGGACTCGGGAGGCATTAGCGAGTGGATTTCTGTGAGTTCAAGGCCAGCCTTTTCTACAGAGCTCCAGGACAACCAGAGCTACAAACAGAGAAGCCCTGTCTTGAAAAATTAAAAAAGAATATTACATATTACAATGGTTTGTGGTCTTCTCAAGCTACATCTCAGTGTTTAATTTTGTGACAATTAGGAAAAGTTAGAAGAAAAGAGCACAAAAAAGACATATTACAAAAAAATTAAAAAGAAACAGTTGTTAAGCTTACAATGACAAGCATTATTACTTGCAAGGCCCAGCTTCATTATCATGAATTTCTAGGGACAAGAGGTGAGTTGCTATCCTAATAAGCTCTCTTGCCGTGTACATTCACACTACTGAAACAGCTATCCAGAATATATCTGGCTTCCACTTTGTACAGGTTGCAAATCTCTACCTCATTTTAAACATACACTCTTTTGTGTCTATATTAAAACAAGAATAATTTGCCTAGAAATAATGTCAATCGCCGGGTAGTGGTGGCACATGCCTTTAATCCCAGCACTCAGGAAGCAGAGGCAGGCAGATAGATCTCTGTGAGTTTGAAGCCGGCCTGTTCTACAAAGCAAGTTCCAGGACAGGCACCAAAACTACACGGAGAAACCCTGTCTCGAAAAACCAACAAAAAAAAAAAAAAGAAAAGAAAAAGAAAAAAAGAAAAAAAAGAAAGAAAGAAAAAGAAAGAGAAAAGAAATGTCAATCTATTATTATGCATATTTCAAAACAGTTGTAGAGTTACACAGTACATCAAAAGAGAGGAAATATATTTGGCATAGATTTCTACAATCTGGTACTCTTGTTTATATTTTGAAGTGTTTGTGTACTATGAAAGCCTCAAAAAGATGCTTAGTTACAATTTTGTTTTTCAAAAATTTTGTTTAGTAAAACTAAAAGTGTATCAGAAAACTATTAAGTCTATTAATGTTACTATACAAATGATGATATAAAGCTAAGTAGACAAGCATAACACCCTTCTTATGAAGTCTTCTATATTCTACTTCAAATTCAAATTCAAAGTTTGGGCCTATTAACACATGAAGCATGAGTCATATCTTCATTGACTAAGCATTAAAAAGAGTAGCTTGAAGCTGGGCATGGTGACTAATGCCTTAATCCCAGGACTCAGGAGGCAGAGCTCTGTGAGTCCCAGGAAAGCCTGGAGTAGTTGTGTTTTTTTTATGGAGACTTATTCTTACTTATGAATGCCTGGCCTTAGCTTGGCTTGTTTCTAGCCAGCTTTTCTAACTTAAATTATCCTGTTTCTATTTAACTAGGATTTGCCTCTGGGATTTTTACCTTTCTTTATTCTATATATCTTTCTTTCCTTCTTACTCTGTAGCTCGCTGGGTGGCTGCCCCTGGCACTCTCCTCTCTTTCTCCTTTTCTCACTCTCACTCTTCCCTAGATTTCTCCTCCTTATTCTTTCTGCCTACCAGCCCCACCTATTTCTCTCTCCTGACTACCTATTGGTCATTCATCTCTTTATTACACCAACCAGGTATTTTAGATAGGCAAAGTAACACAGATTTACAGAATTCAACAAATGAAACATAAAAGAATGCAACACATCTTTGCATCATTAAACAAATATTCCACAGCATAAACAAATGTAACACATCTTAAACTAATATTCCACAACAGCCTGGTCTATGTAGTGAGTTCCAGAACAGCCAGGGCTACATAGAACCTGTCTCAAATAAAACAAAATAAAAAGTATAGTTTAATTATAAATTAATTATAAAACTCACCATGTTGCTCAAATATAAGCTTCCTGTAACTTTAAGAAATTAAATCTTAAATAGATTCAGGTATCTTTGATTGTCAGAGTGAGGCATAAATTCCCACAGGAAAATTAAATGGTTGAACAGAATCTGAGTCAGGCTAGACTTCCCAACCAGGATAGTCTGAATAAATATAGGTCAAGACATGGAAAAAAAATTTTAATTGTTCACTAAGCATTCCATCTGAAATGCTGACTGCATTACTTCTCCATCTGCTCAGGCTGCATAGGGAACAAAACCTGAGCTCAGGGTGCAAGATAAATATTCAAAATCAAGGTACTATTTTTAGTCTAAGAATCAGTATGTATAAAACAGATTGAGCATGTATCCTTATTCTTGTATTGTAAGAGGTGGGAATGCTGTGGGATGGTCTTTCTGTATGCTGTAAACATATATTGCTACCATTGGTTAATAAGGAAGCTGCTTTGGCCTATGGCAAGACAGGTTATAGCCAGGCAGGAAATCCAAGCAAAGACACAGAGAGAAGAAAGATGGAGTCGGGGCAGATGCTGCAAGCTGCCAGGGAACAAGATAGGTAAAGCCACGAGACACATGATTAATAGAAATGGGTTAATTTGAGATGAAAGAGCTATTTAATAATAAGCCTGAGCCATAGACCAAACAGTTTGTAATCAATATAACCCCTGTGTGTGTACTTGGGATCGAGTAGCTACAGGACACAGGAAAACTTCCAGCTACAGTGGGAATGACCCTACTTAACAAAATAGGAAACGGAAGGAGGGAGGGATGAAAGGAAGACAAAGAGCAGAAGGATGAGAGGAAGGGGTGGAAGGAGGGAAGGAATAAAGAGAGGAAGGAAATTCTTATATACATGCTAAGTGCATAGCATATCAGTTCTACATTTTAAATAGCAGACTTTCATTCACAATTTATTACTTGTAAATTGACCTTGAGAGAAGTAAAGCCATGCAAGATTACTTTTAAAACTTATTTTTTAAAGCTTGTATCAATCAGCTCCAACTGCCATTTCTATTATGTGTCCCGAGCAATGCTTTCTCGACATCTTTTAATTTAGTAAGGCCATTCCTGCAATTTCTTATTTAATTCTCTACTTGGCACTGGTTTAATATTTTCTATTACATAGGAAACTGATATAACTCTTATATCAAACCAGAATTTTATACTCATCATGGTCCAAAGCAGAAATAAAAGTCACTAACAATAAATAGTACAATATTAATGTTGGATCTCTGTGAGTTTAAAGCCACCTTGGACTACACAAAACTAATCCAGTCTAAAAGAGAAACCAAGCCAGGCAGTGGTGGCACACACCTTTAATCCCAGCACTAGGAAGGCTGAGACAGGAAGAGATATGGCTGGGCAGAGAAAGGAATATAAGGCGGGAGGAGACAGGAGTTCAGCCCTTTTCAGCTGAGGACTCAGGCATTCAGTCTGAGGATTTGTAGAGACAGGATCTCGCTTTCCTTTTGGCCTGAGGATTCTGTAGTGGTGAGAAGTTTCTCTAGTGACTTGTTCCTTTATCTCTCTGATATTTCAGCACTTATCCCAATATATGGCTCAGAGTTTTTATTATAAGACCATTTAGGATTCATGCAACAGGGAGACTCGAACTCACAGAGATCTGCCTGCCTCTGCCTCCTGAGTGCTGGGATTAAAGGTGTGTGCCACCATGCCTGGTAAGTTTTGTCTCTTTATAAGATCATTACTGACAGTATCTCAATTCCTGCAATTCTTCTTGATACATTTTCTCCTACCATAGCCACTAGCCTCCCTGTTCATATCTTAGTGACCTACTTTTCTAGGTCACTATCTCCAAATCCCAGTGCCTCCCTCATCTTCTCTTTGTCCTGAACTGGCTTCCCATTCTGAAAAACCCAAGATGGAATGAAGATTTGCACACTTCCTTCTTCACATCTACTCAAGGCCTAGGATTGATATATACATAATCTACTTTTTAGGCATTACCATTAATGAATGTTTTTACCCCTATCTAAAGGCCCACTTTTGTCCCAGTTCCATCCCTTTCTTCTTCATCCAAGGAAATCAATTGTCCATGGATTCTTCCATTTTCTTCTAATCTCATAAACTTTTCCTCTCTACTACATCATACCCATCAACATCCACAGATGGTATTGTGTTCTTCTCTGCTTCTGTAGAACAAGAACAAACTCACACATGAGCCCATTTCATCCTCCTAGATACCACCTCATTTCTTTGATGCTCTTCAGAAACTAACTCCATGAAAACAACACCTCAATTCTTTTTCAGTATCCTCTCCTGTATTTTCCCTTAAGTCAACTCTGGCCAGGGTTTTTGTTGTTATTGTTGGTGGTGGTAGTTTTTTTTTTTTTCCTTCCACTGTCCTGTGATAATCCTCTCATTAAGGTAACCAATAGCAACATGTTAAATGCAATGGTCAATTCAGTTTCTTCATCTTTTGTCCCTTTAGTATCACTTGTACTGTTGAACATTCTGTTCCTAAAAACCACCTTCTTCACTTGGCTTCAAGGAGCCATTCTCCTTTTGCTTTCTTTCTACCCCATTATGATGTTTTATTTATTTTACTGATTCCCCTTCTCTTATCCAATCTCTCAACACTAAAGTGACCCAAAGCTCAGTGCTTGGACTTCTGTTTTCTGTCTACACCTTTGTCCTAAATGGGATCAATAATACCATGACTTTAAAAACCATCTATTATCCAGTAACTCCAAATTTATTTCTCTAACTATAGGCTCCTTTCCATAATTCTAGACTCTTATCCCACTACCCACTCAATGCTTATATTTGGAGATCTAGTGCCAATTTAAATTTAATGTGTTCAAAATTAATTTCTTCTTAAATACAACTTCACCACAATTGATGCTTATCCTATTTTCAAAGCTGGCCAAACTAAAAACATTGAATTACAGCTATTTTATTTTTCCCTATTTCTCAGTGGTGATGTAGATTAGTGGTAGAATACTTGTCTAGCACATGCAGGGCCTTAGGTTCAATTCCATTATCATACACACAGAAAGAGAGAGGTGGGAGGAGGAAGGGAAGGAGGGAGGGAGGGGTCACGGTAGCTCCAACTTCAATATGTATTGAAAATACAGTCACTTTCACTACCTTCACTTGTCATCCTGATCTTAACCGCCATCTTCTCACATCAGGATAAGTTATTTATAACTTTAAACTTGAGGATTCACCCCAACTGATTTATGTCACTCCTTTGTTCAATGCATCCAAGTGACTCTCCAGCTAATGCAGACACCTGCGACTACAGCTCCATAGCATCCAACATGCTCTTAAAGACTCCACAGGTATATACATGGTACACACAATCATGCAGGCACACACATACACAAAATTTAATAAAATAAACCTTGTTTTAAAGGTTCTTAAACCTGACATCAAAAGCATTCTCTCTCTCTCTCCCTCTCTCTCTCTCCCCCTCCCCCTCCCCCTCTGCTTCTCCCTCCCTCTCTGTCCCTTTCCTCCTCTCCCTCTGAATTGAATCTAAGGCAGTGTACATGTGTTAATATGTTGTACTACTGAGCTATACCATCATACCTCATAATAAAATGTTTTTTATACATTAGACTTCATCACAATGAAAATTATTTTACTCTGTGCTATAGTTTGGATATGGTTTGTTTCTCAAGGACATGTGTTGGGAGATTGGTCCTCCATGTGACAGTTTCAGGAAGTAGGACATTTAAGAGGTGGGCATAGTAGGAGGTCCTTAGGTTAGCTGGAGGTGTGCCCTCAAAAGGGATTGTGGAACCAAAACATCTCTAGCTTCCTGTCTGATGATATGAACCCTCTCTCTTATAGAAATTCCTATTATTGCCACAGGGTCATTACCAGAACTGAGCTGATATGCCCTTGAATTTCCAGAACTGTAAACTAAATAATTTTCTTTTCTTTACAAAATAGTCTATCTAGGGTACTTCATTATAGTATTGAAAAACATAACATCACACACTGGCAAATGATTGTTTTATTTAAGTTTTTTTATATTCATGGGTGTTTTGCCTGCATGTATGTATGTGTACCACTTAAATGCCTGGTGCCACAGAGGCCAGAAGAGGGTGCTGGAACTGCAGTTACAGATGCTTGCTAGTCACCATGTGGGTGCTGGGAATCAAAGCCAGGTCTTCCAGAAGAGCAGCCAAACTAGTAAGAGCAGCCAAACTAGTAATCTCCAAGCCACATGCCACCCCCACAAGAAATGCTTTTAAGTAAATGAAAAGACAAGTCACATAGTGGGTGAAAATATTTGCAAATCATATATCTGGTAAAGACCTTATACCCAAAACACATAAAGAATCCTCAACCGCCGGGCGGTGGTGGCGCACGCCTTTAATCCCAGCACTCGGGAGGCAGAGGCAGGCGGATCTCTGTGAGTTCGAGGCCAGCCTGGGCTACCAAGTGAGTTCCAGGAAAGGCGCAAAGCTACACAGAGAAACCCTGTCTCGAAAAACCAAAAAAAAAAAAAAAAAAAAAGAATCCTCAACATTAACTTAAAGAAAAAAATCAAACTCAAACTAGGTAAAAGTCTTGAACAGACACTAGATAGAATACATGAAAGGCAAGTAAACACAAGAAAGCTATTCCATATTATTATCCATTAGGAAAATAAAAATAAAAAACTATTATGTCACTACCTATTAGAATACTTATAATGAAAAAGTGCTGACAATACCGAATGCTGGAAAGGATACAGGGAAGGAGAATCTCTTAGAAAACTCTAATAGTAATATAAAACAGAGTCAGTTACTCAGATGAGCTCTCATTCTCCTAAGAGAAAAAAAATAAAAGCATGTGCTGACTTATTTTCTTTTCCTACTGCTGTGACAAAATACCCTTAAAGAAGCAATATAAGGGAAGAAAAGTTTGTTTTTACTTATAGTTCAAGGGTCAATCATCAATCCATCAATACGGCAGGAGCTTGAAGAGGTTAGTCACATCACATCCACAATCAGGAAGCAGAGAATGATGAATGCTTGTGTTCCCCTCATTTTCTCATTTTTATACAGCAGACTTCCAGTCTAAAGAATGGTGCTACCCTTATGGATGAGTCTTCCCATGCCAATGAACTCAGTCAAGGTAATCTGCTATGGACATGCCCATATGCCCACCACTGCTGTGGGATATTCTGTATGGCAAGTGTGTTGCTCTAATTGGTTAGTAAATAAAATACTGATTGGCCATATTCAGGCAGGAGGAAGTATAGGCGGGACAAGGAGGAGAAGAATTCTGGGAAGCGGAAGGCTGAGTCAGAGTCATGGCCAGCCACCACCATGACAAGAAGCATGTGAAGACACCGGTAAGCCACAAGTCACGTGGCAAGGTATAGATTTATGGAAATGGATTAATTTAAGCTGTAAGAACAGTTGGCAAGAAGCTTGCCACAGCCATACAGTTTGTAATCAATGTAAGTCTCTTGTGTTTAGTGGGTCTGAGTGGCTGTGGGACTGGCGGGTGACAAAGATTTGTCCTGACTGTGGGCAAGGCAGGAAAACTCAAGCTACACACCACCCAATTGATTCTAGAGATCAAGTTGATAATTGAGATTAAATATCATCTATGCTCACAGAAAAATATAAATGTACATGAATATGTACAGTAGCTTTATTCATAGCCACCAAAATCTGGAGGGAAAAAAAAGCTCTCAGGGTAATCAATTAAACAAACTGTAATATGTCAATACAGTAGAAAAATACCCAGCTATAAAAGAAGAAACTTGATGTTGAAATATACAACAACATAGATTGCTGTGGGATGTTAATGTATGTCTTGTGGGAGCCCTTCTTGGGTTCCTTGTGACATTACCCAGCAGGTTTGCATAGAGGATGATTAGGACCATGGGCCTGAGTGCAGGTGTCTGAGATGGTCTGCACTTGGCTGTATTGGGGGATGGTCTGTATGTCAACTTGCTCTGATTGGTCAATAAATAAAACCTGATTGGTCGTGGCTAGGCAGGAGGGATGGGCGGGACTAACAGAGAGGAGAGATAAAAGAGCAGGAAGGCAGAAGGAGA